ATTATAAATTCAAAGTCCTATTGCAAATTGCATAAAGACAAGGTACATGGATGATGCTCAGAATGAGTTTCCATTCTATCACCATGAATCTATGATTGTGGATGGACAACACGAAAGGTCTTAATTTAGGCATGTCACAAGTTTCTAACAAAATCAATATAAATAACTTCCATGCCCTTCACATTTTAGATTTAAGTAATGTCTCAAAGTACAACATTTTTCTATCATCAATCAAAGACCAAGATGAGAAAATTGTGTGCAATCTAACAAGCTACTCATTAGCCAATATGAAAGCTGATTTCTAAAGTTAATACATTATTAATCCTGAAGAGCTATAATTCTAAGAAAATTAGATTGCACGGATTGATGGCTTAAAGCAACAAATATAATAATATGGGTGTTGTGCATAAAGAATTCTCAAACCTGGAAATGCAAGCTGTTGAGGGATCGTCAAATTTGTCTAAATTGATAAAATTACGCAGCACATGGTTTGTTTTTTAATATAATTACGCAGCCAAATCAGAAAACACGATCAAGTAACATAAATTGATAAAAACCTCCCATTTTAAATTAATCAAACCCTAATTCTCAAAAATTATTGAACGAGATATGATGCGAAAAAAAATCCAAATTAAAGAAAAAGGTAAAATTGAAAACCCAAAAGGAAAAATATACCTTCAAAATAACAAGTTTATGTGACAAATGATAGGGAAGCGAGTTAAATTGTGGTATGTAGATGAGGAGCCGCCGCCTGTGAAGGAGGCTGTGGCGGATAACAGTGAGAAGTTTGAATGTCTGATGAAGCCACTCCAACACCAGTTGAGGACAAGAAAGAAGAAGAGAAGATGAAGGAGAGTTAAATGGTCAATTTGTTTGATTGGTTACTGAAACTTAAAATATCGAATTTTGATTAGTGAATTTATATCCATGTCTTCAATGACTCATTAAAGTTGAAAATGTCGAATTTTAATCACTGAACTTTAAAAAATATTGTACATTACTCATTGAAATTTGAAAAATACAGTACATTACTCACTGTAAATTCGATATTTTTCAAAATTCAATGGTTATGTTAGTGAGTAACCTACGACTATTCCAAAATTCAGTGGCCAAAACTCGATATTTTAAATTTCAGTGAATAATTTAAGATATGGCCTAAGTTCAGTCAGCGATCAAAGACATTGACCTAAATTCAGTGACCAAAACTCGACATTTTAAATTTCAGTGACCAATAAAAGACATAGATCTAAGTTCAGTGATCATTGGAACAATTAACAAGTGGAAGGAACCCACTCGAGGGGAA